CACCTTGTCCACACCACCTTGGCCCTCACCACCTTGTCCTCACCACCTTGGTCCTCACCACCTTGTCCACACCACCTTGGCCCACACCACCTTGGCCCTCACCACCTTGTCCACACCACCTTGGCCCTCACCACCTTGGCCCTCACCACCTTGGTCCTCACCACCTTGGCCCTCACCACCTTGGCCCTCACCACCTTGGCCCTCACCACCTTGGCCCACACCACCTTGGCCCACACCACCTTGTCCTCACCACCTTGGCCCTCACCACCTTGTCCTCACCACCTTGGCCCTCACCACCTTGTCCTCACCACCTTGGTCCTCACCACCTTGGCCCACACCACCTTGTCCACACCACCTTGGTCCTCACCACCTTGGCCCACACCACCTTGTCCACACCACCTTGGTCCACACCACCTTGGCCCTCACCACCTTGGCCCTCACCACCTTGGCCCACACCACCTTGGTCCTCACCACCTTGGTCCTCACCACCTTGGCCCTCACCACCTTGGCCCTCACCACCTTGTCCTCACCACCTTGGCCCACACCACCTTGTCCACACCACCTTGGCCCTCACCACCTTGGCCCACACCACCTTGTCCTCACCACCTTGGCCCACACCACCTTGTCCACACCACCTTGGCCCTCACCACCTTGGCCCACACCACCTTGTCCTCACCACCTTGGCCCACACCACCTTGTCCACACCACCTTGTCCTCACCACCTTGGCCCACACCACCTTGTCCTCAACACCTTGGCCCTCACCACCTTGGCCCTCACCACCTTGGTCCTCACCACCTTGTCCTCACCACCTTGGCCCACACCACCTTGGCCCACACCACCTTGGCCCTCACCACCTTGGCCCACACCACCTTGGCCCACACCACCTTGGCCCTCACCACCTTGGTCCTCACCACCTTGTCCACACCACCTTGTCCTCACCACCTTGGCCCTCACCACCTTGGCCCACACCACCTTGGCCCACACCACCTTGGCCCTCACCACCTTGGCCCACACCACCTTGGCCCTCACCACCTTGGTCCTCACCACCTTGTCCTCACCACCTTGTCCTCACCACCTTGGCCCACACCACCTTGTCCTCACCACCTTGGTCCTCACCACCTTGGCCCACACCACCTTGGCCTTGCTTGGCTTCTGTCTTGAGGCAGTACTTGTTATCCCTTGGCCTGGTCCAGTAGCAGATGAAGGGGCTGGGGCCAGCAGGGCCAGGCCCAGAGGTCCAGGATCTCCTCCCAGCCTCAGTGGGACTGTGACTGGCCACCCTCCTCCACCAGGGCAGAGGACTCGGGGAACGGGCCTGGCCAGGTCCCTGGTGTGGCCCGGAGGTCCCAGACTGTGCCCCGGCCACCCACCTGTGCTGGCCAAGCCTCCCTCCTGCTCTGGCCCTGACTCCCAGGTGGGAAGGTCAGCTGAGGCCTCAGCAGAGGAGCTGGATGGGAGTAGGGAGACCCACGGGGTCCCTGCCAGCTCTGCCAGGTGGCACTTGGAGGGCCCAGGAGGAGTTGGGGGCCAGGGCCTCGGCAAGGGTCCCTGCAGCCCACAAGTTCTTCAGGGCCTGGAGCCCCTTCCTGGGAGCCTCTGTCCATGTTCACAGAACTTGGGCAGAGCCTCGAGGTGGACAGGGCCTGTTAGGAAGGGTACTAGGACGTGTGGTCCACCCTGAGGTCGGGCAGAGTGCAGTGCAGGTGCACATGTCCTAGGTGTCCACGTGCCCACTCCATGCCCAGGGGGTTGGCTCTGGGGATGCATCACCTGACCCAGGAAGATCCCCTTGGCCATCCCTAGATAGAGCTCTAGGTGCCAGGGTTCTCTGGACATGAGGGGCAGGCCCTGGGAGAGCCGCCTGAGCACCCCACAGTGGCCCGCTGCCCTGGGTCAGCACAGAGGGCCTGCTGAGGGTGGGGGGTCTCCTGCCTGGCCCTTGAGAAACGGGCCTCGGAAAGGGTGTGGTCAGCAGGTGGGAGATGGGCTGCCTCTCTGAGCAGGACCCGGCTGGCCACGGCTGGCCATGACCCTGGGCCCATAACGAGAGCCTCCCTGAGGAAGGAGGGCAGAGTGGGGCTCCCTCAGACTCCATGGGCTGGGGCTGGGGCAGGCTTGAGGAGAGATGGAACGGGCAGCATGTCCCTTCCACCAGGCCCTCTGAGGGCCTGGGCCACTCCTGGCAGCACTGGCCGGACCCTAAGAGGTGCTTTTTGTCTGGCTCCAGCCCAACCCTAAAGGCAGAGGTGGGAAGGCAACTGTCCCTGGGAACCGTGGTCAGCAGAGGGGATGCCCGAGGTCAGACCAAGTGTGATTTGTGGTGGATAGTAGCACCGTAAGAGGGCCCCAACCCCCATCTCTAAGCCGATGCCCCAAGGACAGATTAGAGTGGGGTAGGCATTTGTGCCAGAGCCAGCATATGCAAAGGGCCTGAGGTTCAAATGGCACCGTGCGGCTGGAGCCTCAGAGGCCAGGTGGGGATGGGAGAAATGGGGAGGTCTGGGCTTGGGACTGCACGGCAAGGATGAACCTCGTGTTCTGATTTTCTTCATGGTGCTGGAGATGGAACCAGGGCCTGCACACACTGACCAGGTGCTCTGCTGCAGAGCTGCCCCCCACTGAGGCCCTGAGTTCTTGGCTATAAAGTGAAGATTCTGAAGGGCTTGGGGGGCATTTGGTCAGCTGCCTCTGGAGAAGGGGCCAGGGCCAGAGCATCTGGGGTCCAGGGCAGAGGTGCAGTCCTATGGGCCAGAGGAGTCTGCTGTCCGTTTCCTGCCCAGGCCCAGTCCTGACCCCCTCCCGGGGTCCCTGGCTGCTGGAGGCTGGGAACGTCCCGTGGAGCGTGAGCTGGGCGTCGGGCTGGTTATCGGGGCTGCGCCCGGCTGACTGATCTCACAGGCCCGAGTCTCCACGTGAACCTCAAGGCTCCTTATCGGGCAGCGGGCGGCTGGGGCAGGACGGCCTGTCCTGATGGACAGCCCGGGAGATGGGCCGATATGCTGGCCAGCATGTGTGGGTGGGAAAAATCATTTCAGCTATTTTGTTATCGCGGCCTGGCGTTGCCGGCGATAGACCTATTTGTCTTAGATTAACAGGCGGGGGAGGGGGCGCTGGCAGATGACAGGGGTCAGCCTGGGGTCAGCTGCAGAGGCCAGGCCCTGCAGCTGGACGGGGAGCCACCTCTCCTGGGTGTCCCGAGGGTCCCCAGGCCCCCTGGAGAGTCCTGTTCCTCGCAGACCCTTGGCGGCTGGCGCCTGCCCTGACCGCCCTTCAGGCCCAGCAAACTGAGAGGCTGGGAGGGACCCTTCCTGCAGCCTGCACTTCCTCGCCCAGATGCGGGGCACACGCCCTGGGGGCAGGGAGAACAGATGGCCCGCCTCCGGGTGCGCAGGGGACACAGGCCAGAGGGCCCGGGCAGGAGGGCCGGTGGTCCGTTGGCCACACAGACCGGCCCCCAGGAGCCCCTGCTGTGCGTGGGAGGGTGAGGCCAACGGGGCCGCATCCAGCTGGAAAGGCCGTCCTGCCGGTGACGGGGTGCCTGGCGGAGTCCGAGGGCAGGGTAAAGAGGGACGGCAGCTCAGGCCAGGCCTCATGCCGCCTGTGCTCTTGGATCAGAGTTCAGAGGCCACAGGCTTCAGCCAGGTAGGTCAGGGGTGCTGGACGGCCGGCTGCCTAAGCCCCGGAGCCAACTTCCATCTCCGCCCTCAACAAGGGCGTTTGGGCCTCAGGGTCCAGGGCCTGTGGGAAGGGCCAGGGCCCCGGCCAGACCCGTCACTGTCCCCCACACTGCCACTCAGGGCGTCAGGTGGGCAGCCCCACCCAGGATGCCAGGACACTGCAGCCCACGGTCACAGGGAAGGGCGGGAAGTGCACCCTGGGCCAGGGGAGCAGGACCGCCCGGTCCTCCGCGCTGCATGAGGGCTCGGCAGGCTGGGGGGGCCACCGACACCCGGGGAGCAGCTCACGGGCAGAGCTGGGGCAGCAGGCTCCGAAAGCCAGGCAGGGACACAGGGAACTGAGCACAGGGCAGAGGGAGCCGGGCAATTCGCTCAGGGGAGGGGTCCACTGGCTGTCATGGGACAGGCCAGGGACAGGGAGGCCCAGAGACTGGAGAGCACCGAGGCCTGGCAGCAGCACTGAGGAGACCCAGGCCCAGGGCATGGCAGCCTGGACCCAGCCTCTCCCGGGACCTGACAACCATCCCTACAGGCCCAGTCCCAAGGGGCTCTCTGTGGACACCCTGCAGACAGGGTGAATGGACAGCTGGACGCCCAGCAGGGAGCGTATCTGTGGCAGAGGCCTGGCCTGGCTGCGTGCCGCGGGTGGCCTGCTGACCTCACCCACCTCCGGAGCCACTATCTGTGGCCAGGGCGGCCTATCTTGGCCACGGGCGCTAATCAAGCCGCTTCCTCCTCCGCCCTCCCACCGCTTCCTGCCCAGCCAGCTGTCCCCACAGCAGGCCCAGACAGTGCACAGGCCAGCCCCGCCTGGGGGAGCCCCGCTGCTGCGCTCCAGACACCCCTGCTGTCCCCTGCTGTCCCCGTGCTGAGGCCGGGGGTGTCTCTCACCCCTCCGAGCTCACGGCTTCTGGAGTAAGATGGGCACAGATTGGGCCCAGCTGGAAACCACCCCCCACTGCACCCACGGTGCCACCAGCGCCATCCCTGTGCCCTCCGTGAGCTGCCCCTGCTGTGGCCACTCGTGCAGCACCTCAGTGCCCCAGCCCCCTCCCCCACGCGGCCATTGTGCTTCTGTCCTCAGGCATGGCTGTCCCTGCAGGGTCACCGTGGCCAGCACCGTTACTGCCGGTGGCAGGTTGGCTCGTGGGCCCTGGCCCCGCAGACCTGCCTCCAGCGCCCCCCACGTCCCGCAGACCTATGGTCTGCTGTGCAGGCCAGGCTCAGGTCTCCTGGTCCGTGTGGGTCACATGGGCAAGGCCAGCAGAGGCGGGCCAATACCCACGTGGGCACCCTCCCCATCTGGGCTCAGGTCAGGTCCTGGCTGCCCGGGCTGTGCTGGGCCCCACAACACCTGGGCCTCCTCCCAGTGGGCGCAGGCGGCCCTCCCTGGAGGGGCTCGGCTCGGTCCCCAGGTCCCCAGGTCCCCAGGTCTGGCTCCTTCTCCACCCTGCCCAGTCACAGCAGCACTGCCCTCATGCCAGTGGGCAGGCTGGTACGTGGACTGGGCCCAGGAACTGCCCGCCACCTCCCAGGGCTCGGCGGTGCCCTCTGAGGCCCTGGCCGGCCCGCCGTAGGACGCTCTGTTTATCTATTTATTGCTCCTCCCTCTCCCCGTAACTTTTGATTTCCTCGCTGCGTTTTTCCATTACGATGACCGTGGACTCCACTGATAAGATCGGTCCCCAGAGATGGGACAAAGGGTCCGCCGTCGGCTCGAGGGCTGGTCATATCCTGCACGAAAGGGCCTGAGACGAGGTGAGATGCTATCGCAGACTTACTATGTCTCACGGGGCCTGCCCACCCCTGCCCAGCTGGCCGTCCTGGTCCCTCGGCCTGTCCCTCACCTCGGGCAGGTGCGGTGGGATTCCCAACCCCGTCCTGGCCACATGGTCTGGTGACAGCCCGCACTTGGCTGCCTGAGCTCAGGACCTACCCCAGACTTCCAGGAGTCTTCCCTGGAACACTGACTGGCCGTGGACAGCGCAGGTGACCTGGCAGCCCGTCCCGAGGGAGACAGGGAGGCTGCTTTGCCTTCTTCTCATCCCGCAAAATTTCTGCGAGAGGACAGGAAGGAACTGGAAACCCCTCCCTGGACCTCCTGCCCCCGTGGCCGCCCTGTGCCTGTGGCCGGTTCCTTGCCCACGGCCCCCCCAGGGCTCGGCCCTGTGGGCTGAAAGGACAGGCCCCTGCTCTGGCCAGCACTAGGCTGCTAAGGGGTGGGAGCAGCGCCCTGCTCCTGGTTCAAGGCCTTAGGGAGTGGCCACCACCCGGCTCTGCTGGACAGGCGGGCCAGATGCTTGATCTGGGGGACCCCGGGGACCCCTGAGGTTCCTGGCAGAGGCACAGCAGGAGAGGGCTGGGCCTGGGGCAGGACCCATCTTTCAGGCCCTCCAGGCCACCCCCTTCCCAGATAGTGACCTGCTCACACCTGGGTGTCCTTCTTCCCAGTCCCTCTCAAGGAAGGACAGCCCTGTGGGGAACCTGGGTTTGAGCTCCCAGTCACCCGTCTTACCAAGTGGTCAGGTCCTCGCTGACCCTCCATCTCTTCGTCTTGATGGAGCTAAGGCCACGAAAGTAGCCACCTGCTCCTCTGGAACCAGGATGGCTCTTCCCAGAGGAGAGGCCCTGGTCCCCCAGAGTCTGCTCCCCAGACACACTCTGCTGGACCCTCCCCTGGCAGAGCCCAGTGACCAGCCCATGCTGTGGGGTCTGGGAGCACTGTGACCCTCCTGAGGCTTCAGAGCGGCAGGAGTGTTCCTGGAACCTCTGGCCACTGACCAGACCCTCGCTGGCCCTCAAGCCCACTCTCCTGCCTATTTAGAGGCAATGCCCAGAGGGCACGCGAGCAGAGCAGCAGGTTGCCCTGACCAGCACTGGGCACAGGGCAGGCTGGCCAGGATGGGCCCAAGAAGAGGAAGGGACATGGGCCCACAGGGCAGGGGCTGGGCACCCCGGCTGGTAATGGCCAGAGAGAGCAGAGCAGCACTTCCTCTCACACCCCAAGCCGGACAGCCCAAGGCAGGCCAGGGGAGCAGGCACCCAGCCCAGGGCCAGGCCTCAGAGCCCAGGGGGCCATGGAGGGCCGCAGGTCCGTAGGCCCTGAGGCTCCTCCTGCTGGGCCAGCTGCCCTGGGCTGTGGAGGTATCTGGGGCCCTGTGCCACCCCAGTCAGGGCGATGGACCTCAGCAAGGCCCACTGCCCAGCAGGCCCCTCTGGAGGGAGATAGGGCCTTGCCCCACATGCCCCCTGCAGTCCCCGGTCAGGGAGCAGCCCTGCCCTGTGCAGCCTGCTCAGCCCAGGTGGACCCGCTCTGCCGGTCTCCGGGGCCAGGGTTCAGCCGATATCACAGGCTGGTGTCGCGTCAGAAATCAATACTGGCCCCCGGTGCCCCGGGGCTTGGGAGGGTTCACAGGCCCAGGGCGGGTGGAGCCCGGGCTGCAGCACAGGCAGCCCCCGTGCCCTGGCCCCAGCCCTGCAGACGATCCACAGCAGACTCCAGTTGCCCCAGACCCTGGCCAAGCCTCCTGCCTGCTGCCCCACGATGCCCGTGACGGGCAGCTTGACAGCGAACCTGCCCCTTCTGGGCCGCCTGAGCAGGAGGCTGAGCCCGGAGAGCTCAGCCTCTGCAGCTCCCAGGGGCTGGGGGTGGGCAGAGCAGAGGGACAGGCCCAGGCCCTCGCGCCCAGCCAGCTGCCCGACCTCAAGCACAGCCACTGCACTGTGTCCAGGCACGACTGGCCACCTTCAAGGGCCAGCAGTCCAGTGGGCAGACAATTCACAAGGGAGACGGGGCTCCCAGTGCCCCATGGAGGTGCCCACACTTGGAACCCTGAGACAGGATTCACTGCTCCCGTGCGCAGGAGGCCGCTTGGACACAGGCAGAACTGGGCTGCCGAGGCTCCCGCGTCCAGGCAGCACCTTGTGGGCCAGCCCTCCCAGCCCAGGCCGTGGCAAGCGCTGCACCTGCACCCACAGCCCTAGCACCGCTGCGCACCATCTTGCAGCCATCAGTTCCCAGAATGTCACCCACCTGCCTGCTCCACCCGGGGCAGTGCCCAGCCCAGAGGTACAGACACTGAGCAGACCTGGCTGGGTGGGCGGGCAGGCGAGAGCCACAGTTGTTGCTGCAGAGGGGCACTGTGTCCGGTAGTGGGCTGTCCATGGTCATGTCCACAGCACCCAGTTCTTGATAATAGTGACCAAGACTGACCACTGAATGAGGCATGCCCACGTGATGGTCAGCACAGCAGGTGGGCAGGACGTGCACTGTCCTGGGCTCCAGGCCTCTCATGGCCTACGGGAGCCCAGGGTCCAGTTTCCCAGCTCAGCTAGAATCCTAAATGGCATGAAGGTCAGAGTCTCGGTGATGACCGCTGACCCGTGTTTGCATACAGCAGGTGGGCAACACAGACCCTCCCCAGCACTCCAGGCCCCCTGGGGCAGGGTGGGAACCGGGCTCTCCGAGGGCCAGTCCCGGCCTTGGAGGGGCTCCGCCTCCCTTGCTGGTGCTCCTGCCCGGTGCCAGCAGTTCCTGCGGCCTGTCCTCTGCAGAGCGGTCACATCAGGCCCTCCACCTGGGCTCCCTCGCGCCCCCTTGCCCAGCTCAGAGGCTCTGAGTGGGGGGCCGCAGAGCAGCCTCCTCGCCAGCTGCCTGAGGAGTGGGATTCGCTGAGCGAGGCCGCTCGCTCACTGGGCTGGGGCCAGCCTGGGCTCCGCTCTGCTTGCTTCCTGCTGGACGCGCAGCCTCGGGAAAGTCCTTGGCCCCTCTACAGGCCTTCAGTGGAGAGCAGGGGACACGGCCACTCTCCCCATATCCTCCCACGCTGTGCTGCTCCCGATAGTCACTGGGGAGCTTGTGGCCTGCAATGGGCAGGGCCTCTCCAGAGGTGCTGTGGCCACAGGGACAGAACTGGAATCCGGTGCAGGCCCCTCTCCTATCCTGACATGGTGCTCAGGTGTGGTTTGATCCAGGGAGTACTCAGCCCAGCTGATCCCCACCTCCCAGTCGGCTGTGTAGCCTTAGGGAGTCGCTTGCCCTTTCTGGGCCTTGCTTTCATGTTTGTACGGGGTGGAAGCAAGTGTCCTTGGGGTCCACACAGTCTGCCTGCTGGCCTCCCAGGCATGCCCACTCTGCCCACACCCAGAGTCTTCTAGAACCTTGCCAGCCTGGGACTTTCCTCCCTCCCCCGCACTCCTTTTTCTTTCTTTTTCTGACTTCTATCAAAGGCAAACAGTGCGATCCCTGAGATAGGGCCGCTCCCCAGCTGGCCTGCGGGCCACAGGGCGGGGCGGGCAGGGGTGATGGCCGATTAGATAACTGGGCACCGGTGGGCACCCACATGCCGACCACAGAGCCCACTGTTCAGGGCGGGGGCTTCAGGCAGCTGGACTTTGTGCTCAAGAGGCCGACTGCAGCAGGAGACAGGGCCTGGCAGGTACAGGAGGGAGCCCAAGCTCACCCACAGCCTGCAAGCCGCCAGCAGGGACGAGGAGGCCTGGGACAAGGAGGCCAGCGGGGCCAGGGGGGAGGCCGGAAGGAGGGTGGGCTGAGTGCGCAGTGGTCTTGTCCGACTGGTCCACTCCTGGCTACCTGACCATAAGCCACGTGTGGCACTTTCTGGGCCTCCCACAGCCGCTGCCGTGCCCAGGGGAGAGGGCCACCCCAGGGCTGGGAACTGTGTGTGCTGTGGAACAGCGGCATCAGGGCTCTCCGGCCTTAGGGACAGGACCCAGTGGCCCAAGGTCACAGCAGAGGAGCCCCAGGCTTTACCCACTGTGTGTCTGGGGTGATAGGTCGCGTGTGCCCAGCGTGGCAGCCAGGCGACCCCCGGGGACGCCAGCCTGTGCAGGGCGAGGGGAGCCTCGGGCGGAGCATACACGGGCACCAGCCCGCGAGGCAGGACCCGCGGCAGCCTGCTTGTCCTGCCCGGCCCTGCCCAGGGCTCCCTGCTGGCCAGGGAGCTGCCTGCCTTGGGCTCCACAGTCCCGGGTGTCATCAGGGCTTGAGACCCCAGGACGCGGACGTCACATCAACCAAGCCTGCAGCCTCTCCCTCGGTTCCGGGAAGATGCTGGCGGGGCAGACGCTGTCCATCTGTGTGATTCAGCCCTGTCCTGGTGCTGCGCCTGGAGTGGGGGTCCAGCCCCCGGTGGGCAGCACAGGCTGGGCCACCTCAGAGGAGGCCAGTCTGCAGACGGGAAACCGAGGGGACAGCCACAAGACGGCACAGTGCCTGGCAGTGGGTGTGGAGTCCTGGCTGTGAGCAGGGCTGGGGCTCTGGTTCAAATCCCCACACCTGCTGGGCACCCTGGGGCTGGTTGCTTGTCCTCTCTGAGCCCCTCTTCTCCAGGCACTCACTCGCCAGGGATTGTGGCAGGACGGGCACTCCTGGGCAGAGGCATTGCCTGGTCTTCAGCTGGGGTAACGGGGGACAGGCGTCCAGTCACCGGCTGTGGCCCCATGAGGCTGCGACTTGCGTGAGCCCCACGCACCTTCTGAGCTGCAGTCATTCCTCGGGCCCCTGGGCTCACTGGCCATCTGTGCCCACTAGTCTCCCGCCAGCTCCCCCCAGGCGGCACCTGCCCACAGCTCGTCCTCATTCGTCCTCAGCCTGAGACTGAGCCCCACAAGGTGCCAGCTGCCAGGAGCTTGCGGCCTCGGCCAGCCCCACTGTCCAGATGCAGTGTGCCTCTGGCTGGGAAGGGAGCCACCGGGGCGCTAATGTCCGGACCGTGTTTTGGATGAGGCAGGCTGGGGCAGGACTGAGGGGACAAAGAGGTAGTCTGAGCACTGGACATTGAACATCACCAAGGCCTCTGGACAGTGGCAGGGGCTGTCCCTGCACAAGGCCCTGGGATGAACTGAGGCTGAGGCCACTGTGCTCCCTCACCGTCCAGGTGCCTGTGTGGCCCTGCGGCCACCCACAGGAGGTGACGTTTCAATGCACAGCCTTCAGATGGCCATCTGGGCCCTGGCCAGGGAGGTGGGCATGGTGATGACCAGTGTAGGTCCCCAGCCCCACCAGCTAGGCTCCGCAGGACCCCTGTCCTCTACTGGCCCCAGCAAGCCCTGGTACGGGTCCTGCCCAGGCCGGGGAGCTGCTGTCTTTATCAGCACCAGCCGTCTCTGGTGGGGCTGATACCCGGGAAGCGGGACAGCCACCGTGGGAGACGCTGGCCACACTGCTATCTGGGAGGCTGGCCATGGCCGCAGGCTCCGATTAGGCAGAGCGGCAGGCGGGGCCCCGGCTCTGACTCCTGCACCTCCCCACCAGGCTGGGCAAGACAGGCCCAGGGCCCTCTCCTGGCCACGGTGTGACAGGCAGGGGCCCGTGGACACTGCAGGCTGGGAGAGGGGGCTGAACTGTCCACACCTCGCCCTTGGGTGCCCCGGGCCAGCTGCCTCGCTCCTCACATGCTGAGTCTGTGGGGACTCTTTTGCTTGTCCCTGTGGGGCCCCAGCAGGGCCCGGGCACATGGGTGCTTCACTGGGGGGAGGGGGGGCTGTACAGACTGATGGGCAAGTGGGCACCTGTGAGCCCTCCCCTGGGTCCCCTGATGGCCGGCCAGTGGGGACCAGAGACATAGATAAGGCCAGGACGCGGGGACAGCGTGGGCCACCTGCAGTCAGGTGTTGGGTAGACCTGGACCCACTGCCATCCGGGGGCCTCTCAGGGCTCAGTTTCCTCATCAGAGCAGGGATAATGTGTTCCCCTGAGGCCACACGGTACTGTCCAGGCTTCCTCCCAACCCCGACGATGCCCATTCTAGTGTCCACTCTGTGCCAAGTCTGGAGAGGCCAGGCCCCCGGCATCCTGGGTGGGCTGTGGAGGCTGGGGTGGGCCACACGAGCAGAGTAGAGCCCACCTCGAGGCCCTCCAGCCCCTGGCTCTTCTCTCCTCGCACTGATAAGGGGCCCTCCCTCCGGGTGCTGGGCCGCTGCCATCTTATCTGGCCCGAGGAAGACAAAGGCCCAGGGGAGCGTCCCGCGGGCCTCCTGGCATATTCACACCTTATCTCTGCCATTAGGCAGCAGCTATCTGATGATCGCGCCCATTAAGGCCGCAGCTGCCAGGGGGCTCCAGGAAGCCGGGCCGCCGCGGCACTTCGGCCAGGGGACTGGGCCAGGCCATGTGAGGCCTCCGTGGACCTGGCAACCCCGTGGCAGGTGAGGCACGAGGTGGCCGGCCAGGGAGGCACCGCCCGCCAAGGGAGTGGCCACCACAGTCTTGTCCAGCCAGGAGGCCGAGGCTCGGGGAGGGTAGGTGACAGCCAGGCACGTGAGCGTCCTGTGGCCACCCACACATGAGCAATGTGAGGTGAAGACGGTGAAAATGTCCCTCTCCCGTCCCTCGCCTCTGGAGGCCAGAAGCCGCAGGCTCAGGACACAGCGCCCCCCAGAGGCTCTGGGAGCCGTGTGGCCATGCCCTGCGCGGCCGCCAGCTGCCCCCTCGGCCCCTCTGATCCAGGATGAGCTCCCCTCACGGCCCTGATCCCTCCGTCCCTGTGCCCAGGCACACCGAGGCCACCCTGAGCCCCTCAGGGCCCTGCAGTGTCGCCGGGTCCCACAGCCCCTCCCCAGCGAAGGTGGCTGACAGGACTCCCTGCCGTTGTGTCCGCAGCCACTGTGCTCCAGAGTCCCCCCAGGGCCAGGCTGCCCCAGAACCCCGGGCTCTGGCCACTGTCACCGCCACTCCGGCCACCCTCCCTCTCTGTCCCCCAACCCAGCTGCTTTGGGGGACTGGGACTGCGGACATGGGTGCGGCCCAGCGGGAGGCCACGGCGTCGCTCGACCAGGCCCACCTGACCCCGCGTCTCTCCGCAGAGGAGCTGGAGCCGGTGCTGCGGGACGGGCGGAGGTGCGTGCAGGCCCGACTCAGCCTCGCCGAGGGCCTGTCCTGGGGCCCGTTCCAGGGGAGCATCCAGACCAGAGCCTCGTCCCCCCGGCCCGCAGAACCGGTAAGGAGCCCACCCTGACCAGCCCGCCGAGCCGCTGCCCACCCACGAATTCAGGGCAGTGTTCAGCCCAGGGTGTGGGCCCCTCGGCCCCCCAGAGCCAGGCCCGGCTTAGACCCAGCCAGGAGCTCTGGCCATTGGTGCAGAGCCTGTCAGGAGACGGGACCTGAGGTCCTGGGAGCACTGGCGGTGGGGGGGACGCAGGACCTCTGGGACGTCAGGACGGGGTCCAGCCTCAGCCCTGGCAGGGAGGCCGGGCCACAGCCGGGAGAGGCATCCCAGGGAGCAGCAGGAGGGCCTCACCTCGCTGGGACAGTGCAGGGCCTGGAGAGGCCGGAGCCTCCGTGCCTCCTCCTGACAGCAGTGACGATCCTGCTGGGGACCCGCTACCTAGTGCTCTGGTCACAGGCCTCCCTGCCTGGCGGAGCCTTCTGAGGCAGACCCCATCCCATGCATTTGCTGGGTCTGCTTCTGAGGTCCCCCTGTTCAGGGTGGGTCAGGCTGGTCTCTTGCTGGGCCACAAAGGTCCCTTCCAGATGTGCCTCAACTGAGGAAGGCAGCCCTCGCTGAGCACACTGGGCAAGAGCAGGGGGCAGCAGCTGCAGACCTGTGCACGTGGGCACATCTTGAGCCCTTTTTATTTCCCGATGTGGTACTCAGGTGTGGCTTGATCCAGGGTAGGCACGGACTGGCCAGTGTCACACGATCTTGGGTTTCTTGGTCCTGAGGGTCTGAGGCAGCCTTCTTGGCGCCCTCTGCAGGCAAGGATGGAGCTGCGTGGGCGGGACGTCTCTAGCACCTGAAAGCAGAACACTGCCCTGGCTGTGGTAGCCCACTCTGACCCGACAGCGCGGCCATCTCAGCCTGGGGAGGCCCTGGGAGGCTCCAGGACTCAGGCACAGCAGTGTCTGACAATAAGAACAGGGCACAGCCCGGGACCCTGCTCACAGCGCCTCCAGCCGAGTGGGGGTCAGAGCCGGGCCAGGCCTCTCCAGGTTCACACGCAGCCTCGCTAAGGCTGCTGAGCCTCCGGCACAGCCTTTCAGCCACAGGTGCTGCCGGGGACCCAGGCTGTCCCTGCTCCAAGCTGTCCCTGCTGCGGACCCCAGGAAGGCCCTGCCCAGCCTGAGCCTCCATTTTTCAGCCTTTGGGACCCTCCGCCTGCCTAAGGAGGAGACGGGGACCGAGCAGCCAGCCGTCTGTGCAGTGTAGCCAACCGCAGCCCACCCACCAGGGCCCAGGCGGTTTAGAGGGGAGAAACCAGGGTAGTGCCTGCCCCTGGCAGGGTCGTCCGTGGGCTGCCACTGTGCAGGCCTGTTAGAGTGACAGCAGAAGCCCTGTGTGGGAGAGGAGGCTTGGTGCTGCCCTGGGCCTGCATGGAGATGAGCAGGCTCCGCAGGACACAGGGTGCTGAGAGGCGGAGCTGGGGGCGGCAGGACAGAAGCTCTGGGGGTCCACCCCTGCACTCCCACTGCGCCCGAGAACCTGTACGCAGTGACCAGGGCGAAGGCAGGAGGGCCGGGCTGGGCCTGGGGCGCCCCTTGCTGGATGGACAGGCACACTCCACATGCTATCCACGTGTGGCCCCGCCCTCCGAGGGGTCCACTGCCCCTGTTCTACAGATGACAAAACTGAGTCCCCAGAGGCTCAAGGCTTGCCCCAGTGACCAGGATCAAACAGCAGGGGGAGAGCTGGAGGACACCCACCCCAGTGACCTGCAGGTTCCCAGACAGCCTCCCCGCGGGAACCTCCCCGGGCGCCTGCCCCCTCCAGGGTTGCCCTTGGGCCCCAGGCCAGGTGGGCCTGGCGAGACCCGCCGAGGGCAGGAGCCCTCCCAGGCCAAGATGTGTCCAGTGCAGTGAGCCAAGCACAGACGCCGCTGGGGCCCTTGCCGAGGGGCTGAGAGGAAGCAGCTCCCTGCTCTGTCTCCTGCAGAATCCACCCTCGATTAACCCTTATCTCCCCAGCAGGCCCTATCTCTGCCTTGGCGCCGAGCGTCCAGACACACCATGCAGGATGATTGATTTCTGAGAGATACGCCCGCCTTTCTGATACTTCGGTTATTGTCTAAATATTTTTGCTAACGTTTCGGCGGCCCCTTATCGTACTGTGCTGATGGGTCCCAGCTCTCTCCCCCGGGCCTCCCTAGGAAGACATTGCCTCTGCCCCAGATTGTCCTATCAGCCGCCGGGCACTTGTCTTCTCTCTCTGGAGAGGGAGGAGGAGCGGGCACGGAGGGGATAGGACGACCCTCTCCCCCTGGACTCAGGCTGGAGTTAGGGCTGCTCACAGCAGGCAGGAGTTGGGGGAGGCTCCCCTCGCAGTGCCTGGCACCCAACATTCCCATCCTGGCACCCAGGAAGGAGACAGTGCCTTGAGGGGGACGGGGGGGTCTACCTTGCTGTCCCTTCCTTGAGCCAGCTGAGGTTTCTACCACTGCAAAACCAGGCACTGGAGAAGAGGACCCAGGGGCCCAGCCAGCTCCAGACTTCATATTCACATATAGAAGGAACACTTGTGATGGATGGATGGGGATGGATGGATGGATGGTGGGTGGGTGGGTAGATGGCGGATAGATGGGTGGGTGGTGGATGGATGGTGGATGGGTGGATGGTGGATGGATGGATGGATGGATGGATGGGTGGTGGATGGGTGGGTGGGTAGATGGCGGATAGATGGGTGGGTGGTGGATGGGTGGATGGTGGATGGATGGATGGATGGGTGGTGGATGGGTGGATGGATGGATGGGTAGATGATGGGTGGGTAGATGGCTGATGGATGGGTGGGTGGTGGATGGTGAATGGATGGATGGTGGGTGGATGGTTGTGGATGGATGATGGATGGTGGATGGATGGGTGGTGGATGGTGAATAGATAGATGATGGATGGATAGACATGGATGGATGGATGGTTGATGGATGTAAATGCATGGGTGAGTGGGTAATGAACAATGAATAAGTGGGTAGATGAGATGATGAATAGGTAGGTGGATAGATGGCTGGAGGACAGATAGTGAGGGAAGTAGATGGTGGATGGATGGATGGTGGGTGGATGGATGGATAGATAGATAGTGGATGGATGGTGGGTGGATGGATAGATGGGACAGGGATGGGTAGGTAAATGAGTACATGGACGAATGATGGATGGATGGGTAGGTAAGTGGAATGGGATGGGTGGATGCTCAGATGAATGGGTAGGTGGGGGATGAGCTAATGAGCCAACTCTTTGACTGCAGCCTGGTCTGTGCTGGCTCTGCCCGTCTGTCTATCCTGTTGTCCACAGTTCACTCACTTTAGCCATGAGCCCACCATGGTCTCAGTGAGACCAGGGAAAGGCCCTGGCTACCAAGCAACACTGGGACCATGGACAAGCCATGCTAGAGAGACTGAGGTGGCTACGTGGACTCCCCTGCCACACGACTCTGGCCAGTGTTTGCTCAGAGAGGGTTGAAGTGCCCTTTGAAGCCACAGTGGCCTGAGACTCCCTCACCTAGAGATAGGGCTGGGATCTCTGAGGGCACCACTAGGGTTGAAGGGCCTTCCCTGGCTGCGCAGGAAGCCCTGGAGGTTGGTACAGGCAAAGCCCAGACACTCATGCCCACTTAAGCCCCCCTGGGCACCACAGCCTTGGGTCTTAGAGTTCTATTCTCAGAAGTCAGGGACCAAGGTGGGGGCAGGTGGTTCCTCCAGGGCTCTGAGGGGACCTGTCCAAGGCTCCTCTGCAACTTCTGGTGGCCCCAGTTGGTGCTCGGCTGCGGACACATCACCTGGACTCTGCACGGCCTCTGTGGCCTTCTCCCTGACCCTCCCCACCTCTTTGTCAGGCACAGGAGTTAGGCCCTCCTGATCCAAGATGCTCTCTTGAGATCCTGAACACATCCATCCACAGAGACCTTTTCTCTAAACGAGGCTGTGTGCACGGGCTCCAGATGGGCATCTCTGGAGGCCCCACGCAGCCCACTCCCCAGAGCTGGCAAGTAGCAGAGGCGGCTCAGCCCAGGCAGGACCGTGACCCTCCACAGGATGACCCTGCGGGGCCTAGTGTTGCCGCAGCATCGGGCATGGAGAGGCAGGAGGCCCTGCTGCTGGCCCTGCTGGCCCTGGGCACACTGCCCCAGGCCTCGTTTCCCACCTGCACGAGGAGGAGCCTGGAAACTACCCCGGCTCTGGGACACCTCCTGCCCCACCCCCAGAGAGACCCAAGTGAAGGACTGGGAGCGCCCTCCTGTCCTGGGCCAGGGCAGCCATGGCCACCGGGCCACCTCTGGCTGCCTCTCTCCCTGGGCCCAGGGGCTACCCCAAGAAAAGGGCTGGAAGTCAGGGGGCGGGCAGCTGAGACTGGATGGTAGCAAGAGGGGCACACAGCCTGTCCACAGCCTCCAGGGCCTCCCAGCACTGAGCAGGGCCTGCTTCTCACTGCCTGTGGGGACCCAGGGCACAGCTGCTGACCTCAACACACAGCCAGTCACACTCCTGTCCCCAGCTGCTCCCCGTCCCGTGTGGCCCCTGCACCTGGCCACAGCGGGTGCTTGGGGACCATCTGAGTGGAGTGGGGGACTGAATGACAAGGCTTGGGGATCAGAGCCTCGACGCCCTGGGTTCTCGTCCTGTGTGGCCACCTCCGCAGGCCTCAGCCCTCACCCGCAAGCCAGCTCCTCACGAGGAGCATCTGGGGCAGGTGAAGGGACCTGAGGAGGGCTAGAGGGTAGTGGTCGGGCCCTGGTTGGAGCCCCAGCCCTCCATGAGCTGCGCTGTCCCCTGGGCCCGGCCGCCCCACCAGGACGGCCCAGCCCCTCCCAGTGGTTTGGTGATAGGCACAGCAAGGGCTGGGGCAGCCTCAGAGAAAGTGGTCACAGCGGATGTGGCGCAGATAGGGTTTCCGATGTTATCGGCCCGCAGAGCGGAGACACTGACCTCTTTGTTGGGGGAACAGGAGGGTTCTCAGATCCACTGGGGAATTTAAAGTGGCTGACCGGCATCCCAGGCTGGAGTGGGGCTGGCCAGGGAGCCACATGGGACAGTGACTCTGAGGGGCAGCAAGCAGGACAGGCCTGGGGCCCTTCTCCAACCCTGGACACGCCTGCCAGGCCAAGCCAGGCGAGGAGCCTGTGGGGGGGAAAGGTCCAGCCTCCGTCTCCCATGTTCTGGCCACGCGGCAGGCCAGGGAGCTAGAACAGGCCCCTCCACAGCTTGTCCCCGTGGCCCCTGGGAGGGCAGGACAGGAGGGGCCTTCAGCACCAGAGAGGCTCCTATCCAGCGCTGCTCTGAAGCCAGCAGAGGAGCCCGGCTGCCCCAGGGGCTGAGGGGAAGGCAGGCGGCAGCTGGCCGGGGCTGGCCTGGGAGTGGTGGCCACCCCATCCCCTGGCTGTGGCCCACAGGTGGGGTGGCCAGGTCCCCGGGCCCTCCCTGCTCAAGCCGCCCCCAGGGCCAGACCCACAGCGTGCCAGCTGGAGCCTGGTGGAGCCTGGTGCCGCCTGCACCCAGACCTCCACGGGAAAACCAGGTTGTGCGGCGTCAGCAGAGCCACGCGTTTTTATCATGCTGTGAACACGCTGCTTCTGAGGGCGATAAGCATTAAACCGACCGCGAGGCTGTCAGTCTCAGTTTGAGGGTTTAGAAATATTGGGACGAATAATTAGATTTCATATCGTTACGGCAGCACCCATCGCAGGATCAGGCAGATTAATTTTCTCACCCTCCTCCACTCATTAATATTCATTAGAGACTCAGAAGGCCAAGGCAGGGAGGGCCAGCCCCAGCGCCCGCCCGCCAGAGCCCAGGCCCGCGCAGCAGGGCGCCGGAGCCGAGTTCCCCAGTCTGTGTGCCCCGTCCACCTGCCACGGTCCTGGGGTCCGCTCCCAGCCCTCACAGGTGCCTCTGCTAAGTGACAGAGACGCAGCTGGTGCGCAGCCCCGAGCACCCAGGTAGGGTGCCCCTCTGCTCTCCAGCTTGCCTGCAGCAGGCCCAGTGGACATCTGGAGGTCACTGCCTGGCCCTGACCTGACAGTCCTACCCAGAGGCGCTGCCGCGACTGCTTGGTCCTCCTGGTCCAGGGGAAGCCAGCAGCAGGGCCGCCGGAGCCCACGTGCTGCCGTGACCCAGGCAGGCACTGCTCAGAGGGCTACACTCACATCCCTGCTTCCCAGCGTCCCTGGGGAAACTGAGTCAAGGCGGGAGGGCAGTGGCCAGCAGCAGGCTGTCAGGCCCAGAGCAGGCCAGGGCTCAGGGCCCTCTCAGGGTTCACGGCAGCTCCAGGAGAGGGTCAGGTGTTACCCCATTTCCAGATGGACAGCCAAGGCCACAGTGTGGCTCCAGCTAAGGCTGTGGGACTCCCCTCCCAGGCCAGGGCTCTCCCCAGCCCACTGGCTGATTTACCTCCACCCCCGCTTGCTCCAGGACTGCCACGTGGCAGCAGGCAGGTGACGCAGAAGCCACCTGGCCCTCCCGCCCCAACCTTGCTGGGCCTTGTCCCGGCAGGCCCTATCTTGCCGGCTCCCTGCATGCCACATGCAGAGGCTGAGCAGAGGTGGTCCAGAGCAGTGGCCCTGGGCTGCAGGGGGAGGTGAGCCTGGACTGGACCTGCCGCCTGGCTCTGAGGCAGAGTGAGCAGCCAGGCCTGGGGGCAGAGGAAGACCAGGCAGGGGGGTGCAGGGGCTGCTGAGGAACTGGCAGTCACCACCCACCTCCCACCCCAGCCTCAGGCTCATCCTTCCCGCTGGGAGCTGTGGCCAGCTGTCTCACAGACACGGGTGCCCCAGATGGACAGATCAAGCAGAGGCCTTCCAGGTGCCCCGAGTTCTGATTAAAAGGTGTTTGTCTGAATAAAACGGAGTGAGTGGGCTGACAGGAAGGCGTGTGTGGAGTGCACCGCGGTCCTCAGGCCCCGGCGGAACTGGACCACTGCACACAGCAAGGGCATCCTGGAGCTGAGGCCCAGCTGCGGGAGACAGGCCCCACCCTCTGCCCGCTGGGACTCTGCGCCTCACCCTTCATGCATGACCAGGGTCACCTGCCCCACCCTGGCCCTCTTTCAGCACAGGATGGGCCTGGGCCTTCTCTGCCCTGGAGCTGGGGGCCAGCAAGGGTGCGGGAAGAGAGGCCAGCCCAGAGCAGGCGGCAGAGGAGACGGGGAGGCTGCCTGCTCCCGGGAAATAGGCCAGGTGGACCCAGGGCTAACCCAGATGACACCACTGGCCTTGGGCCTGAGCGGCCAGCCAGTCTCAGGGACAGGGACAAAGGTAGCCCTTCTCTGCTCCCCACTCTGCAACAGAGGCAGCCCACGGAGGGGTCAGTCGGTCTCTGGGCTCATGTCCTCAGTCCAGAGCTCATCTGGAGGATGCAGGGGCATGTGGGTGTAGGACGCCCAGGCGGTGGGCATGGCGGGGACAGATCTCGCTGCAATTCAGGCTTTGCCCTTCACTGGCTGTGTGACCTTGGGCCTGCTGCTTGACCACCCTGGGCCTTGGTTTCCAAAAGGACCCAGCACCCAACTACAGCTGCTGCTCCCTGCGGTGGCTCTGAGTCCCAGCAGTGGACATACTGCTGTGGGACACAGGATGTGGGCCACAGGTCCATCAGCTGCCAAGCCACTCACCGCCCACAACACGCAGCCCCACAGCCTGGCCACACCAGGCACAGTGGAGCCTGTCTCATGGAGCCCCAGTGGCTCTTCCTGGCTGACTGAGCCCATCCATCCCTGCTCTCCCCAGGGCCCGGCCCTGACCCTGCTTCTGGTGGATGAGGCCTGCTGGCTGAGGACACTGCCCCAGGCCCCGACAGAGGCCGAAGCCAACGCAGAGATCCACAGGAAGGGTGGGTATCATGTGGCGCTTCCCTCCCTCCCAGCAGCCTTCCGGAAGGTGGGGTCACTTGGCTCTGCCTGGGCTGGCCCTTAAAGGGAAACCCACCTGTCTGGACTGAGGCTGGGGAGGCCAGACATTCAGGCCACAGCCCAGCACCCTGATGGACACTCCTGCAGGCAAGGGAGCTGCCGTCCCATGAAGATCCCACCTGCTCCTAAAGGAGCCCAAGGAGGCTGGGCTGCCCTCTGTCCTCTGGGGAAGACGTGCTTCCTTCCTCTCCTCCCGGTTCCGGGGGGACTGCTCCCAGGGCTTCTGGGAAGCCCAGGCTGGCTGACAGGTGGACAGCTACAGTGTTGACTGACCCTGCTGGGCTGGGGGGCTGAGTCCAAACCTAGCTGTGCCTGCAGGTGTTGTGGGACTGGGCAAGGCCAGGTTTCCCCCCGAGAAGGGGCAGGGCCTGAGGAGGACTGCAGCCAGCCTGCCCCTGCCCGTCCTCACCCTCCCTCGGCTCTTCCTGTCCAGAGCCGGGGCTCGAGCGCTGTCCTGGGGGTCACCTGCAGCATGCCCAGCAGAAGCAGAGCTCCCTCCCAGGGGCAGCTCTCACCCTAGGCAGAACCAAAGGCACTGGGGCAGGGCTGCACCTGGCTCTGCCTGCCCTCGACTCCAGGACCCAGGCCAGCACCCTGCCCCCATGAGCCTGTCTCCCCTGTCCCATCCTCCTCACCAAAAGACACTCTTGGGGACTGGAGAGACCAGCTAGAAAGAGCCCTGGGCACCAGGGCTGGGTGCCGGCAGGGAACAGGCAGCTGTGGGCCTGCCTGGGGCACGAGCTGGTCAGCACCCTCTGACCCACCCCTCCTGCGGCCTGTACAATGGGGCTCTGGCCAGGTGTGGCCACCTGGGAAGGCTAAGGCTCCTTCCAGTGGCCATGCTGACAAGGTGGCCTGCGCTGGGTGGCGCTGTGCCTTGGGAGCCCCAGCCAGGCACTGGTTGCGGACATGACAATCACCAAGGCCTCTGGGCTTTGATGGGCCAAGGGAGCCCCAGTCTAGGCGCAGGCTGCTGCTCCTGAGGCCAGCAGCACTCCTTCCCTGGCCAAGCTGGGCACAGGGAAGCACAGGCCCATGTACTGCCAGCCAGAAGGCAGACCAGCAGGCCCAGCTCTCCTGGGCTTTGTTGGCAGAGACTGCCCCCTAGAGGCCTCTGTGGGAATAGTCATACCCAGTCAATTCCCAGAGGAACTATTCTAAGGTCCCCACCTGAGGCCACCCTCCAGCCACTTTCCTGGGAGCCCACGTGGCTATGTACCTGCTTTCCTGGGAATGAGGCAGTGGGGCTGGCCACCAGAGGGCAGGAGGCACACCATGGAAACCAGCCAGGCACAGCTACGGAACCCAGGTGCAGAACCTCCTGCTGGCCTGGAACCTGCTCTCTACCGCAGGCAGCATGGCGGTCCTCGGGGACCAGACGGGGGAGGGGATGCTGGGGAGGGACCAGTGGCCACTGAGGCCCAGCATCATGGCTGCCTGTGTCCTCCAGATGACACCCTCTGGTGTAGGGTCACCAAGCCAGTGCCTGCAGGTGGACTCCTGCATGTGTTCCTCATGGCCGAGCCCTGCGGCCACCCTGTGAAGAAGGAGCCCGCAGAGCCCGAGTGTCCAGCCCCAGTGCCCACCGATATCCAGCTCCTGCCCCAGCAGGCCGGCATGGCATCGATCCTGGCCTCTGCAGTCATCAACAGTGAGTGCCCCGCCTCCCTAGGGCGGGTCCTGGTGTGCTCAGGAGCTCGGGGCTGCAGGTGGGGCCACAGGTAGCTCAGGGCAGGACTTGCTCAGCAAGCACAAGGCCCTGGGTTCACCCCCAGAACCCCCAAAGGGTCAAATGTTACCCCCCTGGCAGACCACTGAACTGAGGGACAGTACCACAGCCAAGGCTGGGACACCTGGGTGCTGGAGAGCACAGGGGGGCTGCCAGGGCAGGACAGCGCAGCTGGGTGCAGGCTTCCACAAGAGGGAGCAGGGCAAGACGGTGCCAGGCTGCAGGTGGCACACTACTCCTTAGGGCAGCAGTGGGGGCAAAGCCCAGGGCAGGGACAGCAGGGCCCCCAGAGCCCAGGCACACCATGGGAAAAGAGGCAAACTGGCCTGAGGTCCAGACTGGACTCTGCACCCCCTATGCTCAACAGGAAGCTTATGGCTCGCCTGGAGCCCCAGACTGGACAGCTGCCTCTAAAGCTAAGGACAGCCAAGGACAGGACACCCACACCCCACACTCCACAACCCTATGCCCCAGCATGGCGCACAGCAGTGGGGCCACCCTGCAGAGCCCTTCCCTGACCTGACACAGACAGCAGCCAGCCCCAGACAGTGGCACATCTGTGAAGGAGATGGCCCCAGGAGGCTGACAGGAGGCAAAGCTCAGAGGTGGCTCAGGCAAGGGGCTCCGATAAGGACTCTACACGGGGTTTAAGGAAGGAGAAGGGCAGGGGAGAAGGCAGGTCCTCTGGCCAAGTGGTGGCAGTAAGCTAATGGGGAGGGCGTGTCTGCTTTGGTCTCTCCCCCGGGAATGAGCCTTTGAGGGAGATGGGTGGCCAGGGCGGCCACCTGACTTGGGCAGGGATGGGAGTGCTACCCAGCTGGCTCCCAGGGTGCCTGGGAAACCTGACTCCAGGGAGACACAGTGGCCCAGTGGGTTAGTGAGGGTCCCATGTCCCCCCTTCAGCCTGCATGACTGTGTCCCCCACCCCAGGGTCTAGCCACTCAGAGGGCTGGCTGCAGAGGGCCCCAGCTTCCTCCTCCAGGGTCTCGGGTCTGGTGTCAGCACCTCAATCCCACAGAGCACTGTCCACGGAACATGCCAGCTGAAGGACACCACGGTGGGATGGATACCTTGTCATCTGAGACCTTCCCAGCTCCTCCAGGGGCAGTGGGCAGAGGCTGAGCTGGGGTCTGGCAACTAGGAGAAGCCAGACCCAGGTTGATTCCTGAGGCCCAGGTTCCAGGCCTGTGTCCTCCCTGTGGCTCAGGGTCAGCAGCAACACAGCCCAAGGCCTCTGCCGTTAGCGGAGCTACATCTGCCCAGGGCTTGGCCTTGGCAGCAGTAGGTGGCCGTCCTGGCTCAGGCCCAGGGCTGCAGCCCCTGCCCCTCACCCAGCCAGCAGCGGAGTTCCTAGCTGTGACCTGGCAGAGACAGACAAATCCCCAGCAGTGGCTTCTCAGAGCCCAGACCCACAGGCCTTAGCAGAGAGAGCAGAGCTGCCTGAGACCCAAATCAGCAAAACCCAAGAACAGAGGTAAACAGCACAGCAGGAGAAGCTGGGGCAGAAGCCACCAGAAAAACTAGGTATGGGGGGCAGAAGCCACCTCCCCCCGCCAGCAGGTGCTAGGTTCCCTCAACGAGGCAGCATCCTGGGGCAGGGCAAGGCCACCACCCTTGTATATCTGAGGCGAGGGGTCATCAGAGACGTCTCCTCAGGGCTCACCCCTGGGAGGGGTCTCCGAGGCAGCAGGCATGGAGGCTGGCCTGGGGATGGCCGAGGTCTCAAAGTCCATCAGATGGGGCCAGGGCTACTAAAGGAGAGCCAGGAAGTGACCGCACAGGGCGAGACAATCTCAGGCCCTCTATGGAGAGGCCCCGCTCCTGCCTGGGCTGGTAGGCAGACCTGCTGCTCAGTGCCCACCCTCAGCTGGTGCCACCTTGCCCCACAGAGGATGTCTTCCCCTGCAAGGACTGCGGCATCTGGTACCGAAGCGAGCGCAACCTGCAGGCCCACCTGCTCTACTACTGTGCCAGCCGCCAGAGCGCCGGCTCCCCAGCCACGGCGGCCACGGAGGAAAAGCCCAAGGAGTCCTACCCCAACGAGCGCGTCTGCCCCTTCCCCCAGTGCCGTAAGAGCTGCCCCAGTGCCAGCTCCCTGGAGATCCACATGCGCAGCCACAGTGGTGAGCCCCTCCTAGACCAGCACAGCCACACGAGCACACCCAGCAGTCATGCCGTCGCCCTGCGGCCGGCACCGGGCTCCCCCAGCACGTGGTAGTCAGCCCAGGCCTGGTCCTAGGGGCCAAAGGGGGCTTCCAAACCAGGCCATCCATGCCAGCAAGGTTTGGCTCAGGGCCCAGTCTCCTGGTCCTCGAGCTGCTGGCCAGGCGGGACGCTGGAGCTGGCTCTGACTCTCCCGTGTGTTCTAGGAGAGCGGCCCTTCGTGTGCCTCATCTGCCTGTCAGCCTTCACCACCAAGGCCAACTGCGAGCGCCATCTCAAGGTGCACACAGACACACTCAGTGGTAGGTGGGCTGGGGGACGGGAGGGGGTGTGGGCCACGACCTCGGCCACAGGGCTCTGACCACCACAGCATGGCCCATAGGTGTCTGTCACAGCTGTGGCTTCATCTCCACCACAAGGGACATCCTCTACAGCCACCTGGTGACCAACCACATGGTCTGCCAGCCCGGCTCTAAGGGTGAGATCTACTCTCCAGGGGCCGGACATCCAGCTGCCAAGCTGCCCCCAGGTGAGCAGTCCCTGCCACTGCCCCACAGGCCTCAAGGAGGGAGGGAAGGGGGCTTGTCCACAGGCAGGCAGGTAGGGTCAATTTTAGCTGTGCCAAAGCTCTGCCAAGCACACCTGTTCCCATTCTGGCCCGGCCAGAGCCTGGCCCCGGCCTGAGAAGCCATCCCTGTGGTCACCTTGCAGACGGTCTTGCCAGCATCCAGCAACACTCAGCCCCACATGGCCCCCGGGCCTCGGGGGACCTAGGCTTGGCACCTGCCCCATCACCAGGACAAGACAGGAAGGTCCTGGTTGAGGCCACCAACGGAGAGGCCAGAGTGGCCCCCCAGAATGGCGACGGCAGTGAGACCCCTGCAGCTCCCAGGAGCATCAAGGTGGAGGCGGTGGAGGAGCCAGAGGCAGCCCGTGCTCCCGGCCCTGGAGAGCCAGGGGCCCAGGCCCTGTCGCGGACACCATCACCGCACAGTCCGGCTGCGGCCAGGGTGAAAGCCGAGGTGTCCAGCCCCACGCCCGGCTCCAGCCCGGGACCCGGCGAGCTGGGCCTGGCTGGAGCGCTCTTCTTGCCGCACTACGTGTTCGGGCCAGACGCGGGCGCTCCCTCGGGCGCGCCGCAGGCCTCCGAGATCCTGGCCAAGATGTCGGAGCTGGTGCACAGCCGGCTGCAGCAGGGCGCGGGCGTGGCCGGGACCCCAGCCGGCCTCTTCGCAGGGGCCAAGGGCGCCACGTGCTTCGAGTGCGAGATCACCTTCAACAACGTCAACAACTTCTACGTGCACAAGCGGCTCTACTGCTCCGGCCGCCGCCCGCCTGAGGACACGCCCGCCGCGCGCAGGCCCAAGGCGATTCCGGGCCCGCCGCGGGCGACCCCCGGCCCGCCCGCCGAGCCTGAGGCGACGCGCTCGTCGCCGGGCCCCGGGACGCGCGAGGACGAGGCGGGCGGTGCGGCCACGCCCGAGGCCGAGGCGGCCGGCCGGGGCAGCGAGGGCAGTCAGAGCCCGGGCAGCTCGGTGGACGACGCGGAGGACGACCCCAGCCGCACACTGTGCGAGGCCTGCAACATCCGCTTCAGTCGCCACGAGACCTACACGGTGCACAAGCGCTACTACTGCGCTTCGCGCCACGACCCTCCGCCCCGCCGCCCGCCCGCGCCCGCGCCCACCCCGGGGACCGCGCCGCCCGCCCTGACCGCGCCGCCCGTGCGCACGCGCAGGCGCCGCAAGCTGTACGAGCTGCACGCGGCAGGTCCGGCTCCGCCGGCGGCAGGCCCCGCCCCCGCCCCTCCGGGTCCCGCGCCCGAGCCGCCCGCCTCGCCGCGGCCGGGAAGCGGGATCGCAGGCCCCGCCCCCGAGCCCGCGGCCGACGGCCCCATTGACCTGAGCAAGCGGCCCCGGCGCCAGCCCCCAGACGCCCCGGCTGCGCTGCCCGCGCTCGCCGACTACCACGAATGCACGGCGTGCCGCGTGAGCTTCCACAGCCTCGAGGCCTACCTGGCGCACAAGCAGTACTCGTGTCCCGCCGCGCCGCTGCGGCCGGCCGCCGCCTGCCCCTACTGCCCCCCAAGCGCGCGCGCCCGCGGCGACCTGCTGGAGCACCTGCGCCTGGCGCATGGCCTGCGCGTGGCCCGGCCCGAGCCCAGCACGCTGGACAGCCCCGAGGGCCGAGCGCCGCGCTCTCCGTCCCCGCCCGCTCCCAATGCGGACCCCGCCGACCTGGGCACAACGACGCCCAGCAAGGGCCCGCCCGCGCCCGCGGCGTCCAGCCACCGCTACTGCCGCCTGTGCAACATCAGGTTCAGCAGCTTGTCCACCTTCATCGCGCACAAAAAGTACTACTGCTCATCGCACGCCGCCGAGCACGTGAAATGAGCCAGCCGCGCGGACCCAGCCCGCGTGGACCCGGGCACTCAATAAAGACTTTCGCTGTGACCAGCGCGCTGGCCGCGGGCCTGGTTCTCTGAGCTCCGTCCCTGCGCCCCGCCCCCGACGCCCGGGAAAAGAAGGGCTTGCACCTAGCTGGGCATGGGCCACCTGGCAGTGCACTGGGAGGTTGCCGCGCGTGCTTGCGGAGGCCCAAAGCGACCTCCCCACGGGCACCACCTCCAGCCCACTCTGCCAGAGCTAAGCCCTGCACAGGCCGAGATCAGGCCTAGGCGGTGCTCGGCTGAACAGTCTGGCCATGGCTTTGCGGCGGGGCAGGTGAGGGTACCTTCCAGCTGGATTTACCTAGAAAACAAATATACCCTTTTTCTACCAATTCTAACGGTCTTTCTGGGCATCCTGCAGAGGCGCAGTGATCACTCCAGGAATAACGCTGAGGTGTCACCCAGCCAACCACCCAGGTGGCTCCTCTGCTTGTTTCCTTCCCGCCCAACCTTCAGGGGTGAGGGGCTATTGGGCCTGGGTATGTACAAGAGTTAAAAGTCCCCAGAGTCGTGACTCACAGGCCCTACCCATGGAGACAGACCACAGAGGCTACCGCCAAGGCCACTGGGCATGGGGGGCTGGGGATATGGCCCTGGATCCCAGGGTAATGGGCTGAGAAAGGATCCTTCGATCCAGGGTGCCTGGCTTTGGTCCTTTTTCCATAAAGGCCAGACAGGAAGTGGGGGCCAAAGACCCAAGGCAGGCTCCAGGTGTAGGCAGGCTTCCCTCTGTCCCCTCCTGTCCCATCCTACACCCTACTGCTGCTGCAGCACACAGAAGATGGCCAACTCTCAGACCCCCCAGCACCCGCACATGCCTCAGTTTCCACACCCATGAAATGGCAGGAGACAGTCCTGTGGCCCCTTCTGGGAGCTTAGCCTGGGCTAAGCCCTGCCACCACCAGCAGCACAAGCCTCAGACTGCAGCAGATTCTCTAGCCTCTGCTGCCCCCCATGGCACAGGGCTGGGCACTGGCTACCCTGCCAAGTCCTAGGATTACACAAGGCCTGTGCCAGCCTCCACCTACACCAAGGACCTTGCTCTGATATGTGCCCATCCCCTGGGATGAGACCTTCCACAGGGAGCACCACAGGTGCCATTAGTCTCCTTGTGTCCCCTGAAGCCCCTGCCCCACTCTCCCTGAAATCCCTCTGGGATGCTGCCTCTACCCCACACAGCCCCAGCAGCCATTGCACACATTAGACTAGCCCCAGACTCCTCCCACTTCCCCAGGGAGCCTGCTTCCTGCCCCAAGACACTGTCCCCGAGCCCTGGGAGCACAGGGATGCCCCTGCATCTCTCCATATCTTCTAAGCCCCAGAGCTCTAGACCCCCTGCTCAAAGACCTCAGCCCCCAGGCCCTCCTAGGGCAGGTCCTAGAGTGGCTCCCCTGCACTGTGCCTCCTCCCCACCCTCTGCCCCTCCCACTGCTGACAGGTCCTGCTGGCCTTTGCTGTCGGAGCAACTTGATGTCTCCAGAGCTCCAGTCTGGTAAACCATATGCAGGTTGCAGAGTCTCAGCCTAGGCATTGTCCCCAGGTCCCCTCTCCCCAAACCCTCCCCCAGCTGGCCTTTAGGAACAGCTGCCACACACCCCTACCTCTGGGGCTGCCCTGGTCCCCTGCCAGGCTCCGGGTTGCACTCTACCCATGTGAGACCCTCCTCCACTGCTGGGTCCACAATCATTTACTAAGCAGGTGGCACCCTGCCCTCGGGTGCACAGAGGAGGAGGCCCCTTGGGGCACTGTCCTTCCCACCCCACTACGCCCTTGGCTGTGGTTGGCAACTCAGGTCAGCACCTTGAAGGGCTCCCCTGTGCCCGTGTGTGGGCACCCGACTTAGGGTCCTCTACCCGCTTCTCCCCTGATGGTGAGCTCATTCTCCAGGTCACCAGGTTTTCTTTTCCCATCCTCTTGACCCTCCCCACTGTCTCCCGTCCTCAGCCACACCCCCACAGTGTTCCGCCAGTGACACATGCCACCCCACTTACTGAACACGTTCACAGTCCACTGTCTCTAACGCTATCCAAGTCCCATGTACAGCCAGTGCCCTGGTGACTGCTGCCTGCCCCCAGCCCCTGGGAGCCTCCCTGCCTCCCTCAGCCCTTTCTGCCAACTCCTGCCCTCTCAAGACTGGCGTAAGCCCACCCCGAGCCTGCCTCCTTCCAGAATCCTCCAGGTAGGGTGGCTCTGGCCCACCTTTCTTCCTCCATGCCCCCTTCTGCTTGACCTGCAGCCCAAAGCCGTGCATCTGTGCTGGCCAGGCCAGCAGCAGCCAGGCAGGACTGTGTCCACCTCATCCCTGCACCCTGTACAATGCTTGGCATGAGAGGGACTCTGGGGACCCTCACTGTTTCAAACCCCTCTCAGCCAGGTGTGGAGCTTTCCTGGTTGCTCTATGAGGACCCCAAGGTTCAGTGGGGCCGGCACCTGCCCAGGGCACCCCACTGGTATAGCTGGGCCTTGACCATGTCGATCTGCCTGCTCCCAATGCCCAAGTTCTCAGCTACTGGCCATGCTACTGGGTACTGGCTCCCAGCCCAACCCGACTTGCGGTCAGCTGAGCAGCCCCCATCTACTGCCCAGAGAAGTGTGCAAATGGGGGTCCCCATGCTGATGGCAATCCCCCCTTCCCAGGACCTCCCCACACAGAGCAGGACAGCAGCTGTGGCTCTGGGGTGTGCACGCTGTCAGTCATCATGCATGGGTCTGCTGGTGGACGCCTGGTCCCATCTGCAGCACCTTCACCCTGCAGGCTGCTCTAGCAAACAGCCCTTAGGAACTTCGGCCAGTGAAGCCTCCTGACAGCAGAGGGCAGCAGCAACTGGTGCAGGGGGCCAGCAGCCAGTGGACCTGTCCTAGTGCTGCCTGCCAACCTTGGGTCTGCCCCACTTCTCCCTGAGGAGGAAGGAGGGTTGGAGGGGCAGCCCCAACGCCATGCCCCTTCCCCCAAGGTCACCTGCCAGACTCCGACAAGCCCAGGGAGAGCCTTGAGCAGGCCCTGTGGGCTCGAGGGCCAGCCCTTGCTGGGCACATCTTAGAGTTCATTTGCCTCAGGGCTGGGACCCCTGCCCCAGCATCACCTGAGCCGTGGGCAATGAACATTTTAGGGACAGAGGGTGTCCTCAGAAGCCTCTCTGGCAAGCTCACCCCACAGCAGGTACGAGTGTGACCACCCTCTTCCTCCTCAGAGTGCAGGTCAGCCACTGAGCCTTCCTCAGCTGGGATGGGCGGAACAGGGAGGGGTTGCACTGGGCCCCAAGTGAGCCACACCCTTTCCTGCACAGAAGCCTGCCTTGGCCCCACTCTGCAGTCCCACCCACCAGTGCCTGGAGGGCCTCCATGAGCCTGGAGACGCCATGGCCCGTGGGGGGTCAGTTGGTGGGGGCTCTTGACCTGAGTTGGGAGGGCGGAAGAGGGTCCTGAATTCTTCAGAAGTGTCCTGAGTGTTCCACTTGCTCTGGGTCAAGCCCAAGCCCCAGGCCGTCCAGAGGCCAGGGCAGCCGGGCGCTCACCTGCAGTCAGGAAGACTGGCCCTACCCGCAGAGCTGCCTCCCCCAGAGGTCACAGATGGCCCATGCAAGGGCACAGACTTCCCAGCACAGTGCACCAGTGAGGTAGTGCCCAGCCCCCCCGCCCCCACGCACGAGGACCCTGTGGCCACTGGATGCATCAGGCACTCTCCCTGTGCCGAAGAGAGATGGTCAGCACCCCACCCCTTATCCCTGAGTCCCCTGCTGCCCCGGCACACAGCCCACCTCCCAGGTGTGGGCTGAGGCTGGAGGCCAGGGGCGTGCCTCTGCCACCCGCCACTCACTGCCTCCCCTGCCCTCAGGCCACAGCCCCCCCCCCCACCTTCCTGTTTTCCCATGGATCGCAGGTTTTAGTGCTTTTTTTTTAGTTGTAAATGGACACAAAACCTTGATTTTTGTTTATTTATTTTTCCGTGGTGCTGAGGACTGAACCTAGGGCCTCACGGGTGCTAGGCAAGCGCTCACCACTGAGCCGCCACCCGGCCCTCCCAGGACTCCTTGGTCTTCTTCTCCGGCCTCCGATACTGTTATGGAGCCCACGGGCTCTTCCTGCCTTGCTGGAGTGGCCCTCGAGTCACGCACGGGCATCTGCAGCATTGCCCTCACCTCCCCCAGGGCAAGCCCGCCCCCCCCACCAGCCCCCTCTGTCCTCGACGGTTCAGTTTTATTTGGGCTGGTTTCACTCTGTAGGTCGGATGATGATTTGTCATTGGGTCTTTGTGTGACCTGGCCCCAGCTGGTTTCCTCACATGTCCTTCTGGTGTGTGACCTGACCCCCTGGGGTACGGCTCCTTCAGACACCTTTGTTCACAGGACCACGATGACCCTTGAGGACCCTGACTCCTTGTCTTTGGGAGAGTGTCCCCGCCCCCACCTGGCCCTGGAGGCTCCCACTGGACAGTCCCTCCAGCTCATTCCTCAGTGTCGCCAGCTGCGTCCGTCCGCCCTGCTCACCTGGTTTCCATGGGCAGCAAGCAGGACCTGACTGCACCTGGTCCTGCACCTCAGATGCCTATCAGCCTCCTCAGTGCAGCCTCCTCAGTCTTGCCTTCACTTACCCTTCTCTCCTGCTGGTGGGGAGTGACGCAGCTCTTGTCTCCCCTCCAGATCAGCCTGAGTGGTGTCCTGGTGTTGGCACCTCAAGGGTGAGAGAGGAGTAGGTGGCACGAAGCTCAGGCACCTGTCCATGCCCAGCTTGAAGGACACCTTGAAGCCCTGGCCAGCATGCCTGCCGTGGCCCGACCTCTCTCGAGTTTGGTGTGGCGTGCTTCCTGTGGGGCTGCAGCCAAGGCCACAGACCTGGTGCCTACAGAGCACAGTGCTGGTCACAGGGCTGTCCTAGAAATTCCAGGGACCATCTCACCCTGGCCTTCTCCAGCTCGTGGGGGGTTCTGCACCTCTGGGCTCCTGGTCCCCTCTTTGGAGCCAGCACACCACCCCCGCCTTCCTCTCTACTCACAGGAGCCTGTGA